GTGTTTGAAAAAAGTTAACATAAATGATTCTTAAAAGGTTTGACAACAATAAGCAAACACTAACTAAATAAGAAGTATGTAAAATCAAAGTTTCATGTACAAAAAAAAAAATTTACTTGGACTTGCACAAAGCTTTTTTAAATGTATTAATACTGTGCTATAAAACTTTTTTTAAGTGAACTTTTGTACTGCCTTGTCAGTTAATTAAAATAGACATAAAAAAAACAGTTTTACTTATATTTTCTTACATCATACAAACATGGTTACTAAATGTTAACCCTTGGACATTCATTTTCATCAACTATTTTCTTATACTTATGCATTTCTTAATAGAAGAATTACTGATTCGCTTTTTAAATAAATTTTTCTAAACCATTTTATTCACCAGATTGCTTCTGGGACCATGACTTTGTTAGTTGCAGGATTCCATAAAACATGCGAGTTACAAAAATACCATCAATACTGCAATTAATCCCAGTAATTACTACTGGGCTTCGTATACATTCTCCATAGAAAATTAATGACTTCACCAAATATTTTGGTCAATTCTTTACACTGAAGATCCCTCATAATATACAATTGCACACCACAATTATATATGTAAATAAAAATGCCATAAATATTATAAATAATCCCACTAATTACTGTTGGATTCCCTTGTATATTTACATAGGAAATGAGTAATTCTAATTTCCTTTGGTTAGTTCTTGATACTGAAATGTTGTAAAAGGCTATAATATAAAATTATTCAATACCATGCAATATGTGGTGAAAGGTACAAAAACAAACATAATCATCCATCAAAAATCAGAGCTTGTATATATAGGGTGGGACAAAAGTTACTAGAAAGTTGGTATTATTACATATAGTTGGTACTAAATAAAACATTATGAACACAATTGAAACCTATTTAATTACCGTTTCTTTACGAGTAAAACATTAGAAATTGCATTAAATTCCAAATAAAGTAACTATATAATCAATTTTGACCCCCACTCTGTACATACATCTCAGTTGGGATATTGTAAGTTCCTGAATCTTAGTAAATGATTTTAACTAATGATAATATGAAATTGTAACATTTTGGCAATGTTAATTTCCTTACCGACCACTACTGCTGTATTCAAAAGCAACATAGAATATCCTATTAAAAGGCCATTTAGTACTAGTGTCAGTAAAGTAAATTATTCCTTGTTCTTCATCTATATCCAAGTCATTTGGTAGCATTATGGCTTTTCCTTCTACTTCAGTAGACAATGGTAGAAGTGTTTCAACAGAGCCTGTAAAAATTCACAAAGCCTTTGATAACCAAATAACAATTTAACATCTATTTTCACTTTTGATAAACAGTACAAAAATTATTTCAGCTAATTATGAAAGGTAATTTTATTTTCTAGTAAATTTCAACATAGTTGTTTAATGAAGCAGTGTTTTAATTTAAAGCTCCAAGAGCTCTAACTCATGAGGTATTTCTATTGCCTTGTTTTATCTTGCAATAATTTAATTTGCTAAACTTCTAAGTTTCATTTTACTTGCATTAATTCTATCTCAATAAAGTAATGGTTGACAAGAGCCAAAAGTTTTCTTAATTCATAGACAAAGGTTCAAGGTGTATTTTAAATGGAAACACTTTAAATATGTTTTAGGGTAAGAATATATATCTTATAGTTGACTCAAAAGAAGAGTTAATATTTTCCTTACCTGAAAATGTATTTCTGATAGATACCACTGTACACAGAATAGCTTGATCTTTCACATGTCTGTCTATGAGACTTGCATGCCTCTAGCTTTGAGCTAACTCCTACCTAAAAAACATGTGTTTAATGTGAACTGAGTTATTGCATGACCACATCATCAGGTGATGATAGCCTTCCATCATTAGAAAGACAACACAGCCTTCTTGGACAGTAACTCCACTTATACACTTGTGCTTATGATAGCTTCATTCTTAAATGAGGTAAGAAGGAAGTAAGCTGGAAGTAGGGAGATAGATGTGAAGTGGGAAGTTGCACAGAGGTGAGTATCTATTAGAAATACATTTTCAGGTAAAGTAAATGTTAACATCCAAGATGATAACTCATCTCTTCACACAGAAAAGCTAGAATCCCATACTGAAATGGTCAAGGGGCCATTTCAAACTTTAAACTTACAGGAGCTCCCTTCAGAAAATATCTGAAGGGAAATCCCATAGAGTGTGACACCCAATGGCAGGGACTCCATACGACCACACCCATGGGAGAGTGCATCTCGTGTTTACCAGGGTAAACTCTTTGCCTGGAAGGAAATAGAGGGAAGGGCAAAAGAACACCAATTGTCATAGGAATGGCAGAATTTAATCATGACCAACCAAGGATCTACACACAAGTGGTCAGAAAACGTAGAAGTATAGTGTGATTAGGGCATGATCAGACCATACAGTGTATGTTTCACCTTGACTCAATTGAACAGACAGATTCTTGCTGCAGGAGGAAGGCATGCTAGCTGTTTTCAAGGGAGGCTTGCACTACACAGGCAGTGCCATTACTGCCCTACTTTCCACCAGTGCTGTGTACAATCAGTGAGGAACTCTCTAACATCTACCACCACAGCAACTAGGAACTAATAAGTTGCAAGGGTCTTCCATACTCTAGTAGAAGGTGGGAGTCAAATTTGCATTGAAGAGACTCATCAGGTGCCTGCTGGAAAGGTCTTTTATTGAAGAAAGTGCAATGGGTGACCATGAAAACCTATATTCAAAAGCTGGCAAGCACAAGCTAAATATGTGGGCAGTCACTTTCCTGGTGCCAGCTTTTTCCTTGATAGTTCATGGAATGTTACGATCTGGATTGGGTAACTGAGTAGTTATAATACCACAATGATACCTCTAGTGGTCTTACAAAACATCCCATCTCAAAAGCGGGCACTAGTAGAGCCAGGGCGGGTGGGTTGAGTACTTTCTGTTACTTCTGGCATGATGTGGATTTTAGGAAATAAGCATACACTAAGAGACAACACCAGCCACTAGGCAAAATCCTACAAAAGAAAAGGGGTGATGAAAAATAAAACGTACCCTTCTCAAATACAGTGCACATTCAATAACAGTGACTGAAGGAGTCAAAATCCTCCAGGAAACAAACTAGCCAGATGCTGAAGATAATGTGAGACAAATGTGTGGTATTTGTACACATACCAGCTTAAAGAATCTCATCCAGCAAAAATTAATTGCAAGAGAGTGAGATGGGTAATGAATTTGATGTGCTGAAATGTAAAAAAGCCTGTGTGCATCAATATTCAAAAACTACACAAACTGGAGAAGTTGGTGGACTCATCCAGTCATGGTAGTAAGCAAGAGGTCCCTGGATGACAAGGGGTTCCAAAGTATAAACAAACAATAGCAGATACCCCAAAAGTATATGTACATACTAAATTAGCACTGAACAACCCAAACTGGAGATACAAGATGATCTGGGTCTGAATAAGCATAGAGATGAGAAATAGAAAGGAGGGAGAAAGAAGAAAAAGAATGATCACTGTCCCAAGTAGTTGAAGTCTTAGGGAAAAAAGCCTGATCTATATAGAGAAGTAAATAAGTATGATGAAAGAGAGTGTTGGAAGCATCAATGGCGTATACATTTGAGTGACAGCAACCATAGGCAAGAAGGAGAAGGAAATATTTCTTAAGAGAAACATGGTCCAAAGAAGAAACAGTCAATGGCTATATTAGGGCACATGTGAAAGTGCATAGAGCAACATTAAGGTCCCAATCAAGCATGAGAGTCATTTGAGGGAGTCAGTGAAGGAAGAAGGGTCAGAACAAAGTTGAGAAGACAAGGGAAGAAAACACCGGATGGTAACAGGAGAGGTGAAATGTAGTTGACAAAACCATCTAATAACCAACTTTAGTGGCGACTAACAATAAATGGTCAATCATGTGAAAAAGGCAAGAATGTGGGTCACAATAGGATGGCCAGGAGAAAGGGAGTGGCTGATGGACCAACATAAAAACTCACCACTTCCACTGACAGATGGACAAAGCTGAAGGATGACAGGAATGGGATTGAAAGGCTACACAATTGGAGAGTCTGGCTCTGGGAGAAAGGGAGACATTATGTTGGAGCAAGAAAGAATGGAGCCTGGATGCCAATTGACAAAGGAGAGAAAACCACACTTGTGCAGACCAAAGGTGCACCACCAACAGGATCTGACAAAGAGTGTTGTATATACAGGTGAGGATAAACAAGGGAGGAGATGAAGAGGAGGTTAGACATACAGAAAAATGATAAGACCAGTCCTGGTTGAGAGTATTGACTACCAGATCTAAAGGATGAGGTACTAGAACCCAGAAGCGTCAAAGTTTGGCATTGAGGGGAGTGGTAAAGGCATCAATAAGAGATAAGCCCAGCTGTCGGCAAACCCAACAAAAAAAACTGTGGGTGGATAGATCACTCCATGGGTAAAATCCCATCTGGCTGAGAAAGGCAATTGACTACTAGTTCAGAGCTCCCTGTACATGACAAACTATGAGATGTACTCAACAGAAATGAGCTCAAAACAGCACATCCAATGTATCAAAGCAAAAAGTCCTAGAATGGGTACACCCTCCCTGATGGTTGATGGAGTGGATCATGACAAACCAAACCACAAGAAGAAATAAGAAATGGGAACATGGCAAACAAACTGTGAGAAGTTTGAGTATGTTGATGTGGAGTGAACATTCTTTCTGAGCATACATGTCTGAAGCCACATTGTTGGTCAGAGACATGCCCCCACCCAACCAGGAAGCACAAGTGAAAAAAATGGAGATGTGGTAAAGTGGAGCAGCAAAGGGATCCACAATAGTATCGAAATGATCAAACCACCAGAAGTTTTCAAAAAAAGGAGAAAGGAGGTTCACAATTTAGGACAATGGATCCCAAGAAAGGTTCCTCTCATCCCACAATGTTCACTAGAAGATGTGCATGTGTGTGCAGCCCAAAGGAATGAGAAGTTCAAAAGAAGCCAGGGTTCCAAAAGCAGAAGAATCTTCCATTCAAATCTTTGTGACTAGACATTCCATCACTCACAGGTGAAGTAGTGAAGGCTGAATCCAAGTGAGATGAGAGTTGAAGAACATTTTCAGATATACCAAATATTGGGTATGCATGAGAAAAAGACTTGGAACGCCTAACTAGTAAACCCAGCCAAGCAGTCTCCTGTACAAGAATAGAGGTACGAGAGAAGTCCTCCCAAGAAGGGGCAACTAGAAGCCAATTGTATATATAATAATGGAACCTCAATCAATGAATATGGTTGGTGAATGCCCCATGATTCAATTGAGGACATAAGGAGCAGTTGTGTCACAAAAAGGAAGAACAAGGAACTGGAAGACTCAGTTCAAGTGGACAAAATGAAGAAAACATCTGGAGGACAAGGCAATCAGAATATGTGAAAAAGCATACGTCAAATCAATCTTGGTCATACACAGACTGGATAAAAAGGACCACCTGAAAGAAAAAGAAATCTTTCATCTGAAATCATGAGATGACTAGAAACCAGTTGAGTGATGAGAGACTGATAATCAGATGCTAGTTCCCAGTCTTCTTGGGGACCACAAAGAGGCAAGAATAATATGCCAGAGAAGGAGTAAGTACCCTCTTAATGGCATTTTTGGCCAAGAGTTCCAGGATACATCCTCAAGATTCTAAGAATAAACAGGGTTTCAGAGAGGAGGAAACAAAACAGGAATAGGGAAATTGAGAGGAAGAGAAGTGGTGAGAAAGGCCATGGATGAGGACCTGAAGAACCCATATGTCAGTTAAAAATCGAGAACAAAGGCTGGTGAAATGAAACAGAGGGTGTCCACTGGACCAGACACGACAGTATAGTCACTGATGAGATGAGCGATGACCCTGACATTGGGAAGTGGTAGGGTGGAAAGAAGAAGCTTGGGAAGCTGGAAATAAAAGGGAAGACATAGATTGAGTAGGTCTAGGGACTGGAACAGAAAGGTGAGGTTGAAAAAGATAGGAAACCAAGAAAGACAATGAGGATTAATCCCAGGCCACCTCTGCTGAGGTCTCCAGAGTGTCAGGAACACCCACAGAGACCTCCAAATGAACAAAAGAAACTCAACAATGATCATGGAGATAACAGTGAGATTGGAAAACAATAATTAGAAGAGCATCCTGACTCAACAAGACCCAACAGCAGAGGAAACATGTAAGGAGGAATAGAGCAACAGTACTAGTATTGCCAAAATTGGTAAAAATGAGAGAATGAACCTCTTCAGAAAATGAGGTGAAAAGACAAGAGGCAACATTGGAGGGCAATAAAGAAAGAGGCAAATATAGGAAAAATGAGAATTATAAAGTGTAATAGAAGTAAAGTAGTCTGTCCCCAAGCAAGTAAAAGAGACTAAAGCTTGGGAATCAAGAAAAAGAAAAGAAGAATGGTCATATGCCAGGACAAAAGAGTCAAGTAGGATAGGATGAGGCATATGACTATGGATATAGAAATAAATCTGCATGAGCCCTAATATCAGGGGAAGGAAGAAAAACATAGTAATCATGAGAATGGGTTTCAAGAAGTAAAGAATGGGAAGAATTGAAAAACACAGGTGAAAGTAAAGAATATACCTGTGAAATTATATTAAAAAAAAGAGATTATAAGGTTGAGGATTTTCTTCCACAGATAAAGCAGTTCCTAGAGCAAACCCTGGTGTGGAAAATAGCTGGTTGAAATCATCATCATCATCCTGGTCACGACTGAAGTGACAAGAAGGAATCTCACCAAACGGAGAGGAGGAGGAAGTCCAATGTGCATGAGGAAGCCCATCACCCATTGAAGGCTCCCAGTAAACACAGGTCCCCTGTTTGTAACATTGTCACCATCACAGGACAAAGTAGAAGCTACAGTCACTTGAAAATTAATAATGGGCAAGCAGAAAAAAAAACCAGTTAAACCTGAACAAAAATAAAGTTTATTTTATAATAGCAAATCTCACATAATTGAATAATAATGTAAAAAAACAATAACATCCTTTCAAGAAAATGCTGAGGAAAAGAATTAAGTTATCTTAAGTACAAGTGCTTAAGGGGAGTTGCTGTGCAAGAAGGTTGTGTTGTCCTCCTACTGGTGGAAGGCTATTGTTGCATGATATTGTTATCATGCACTAGCTTTGTTCATATTAAACATGTGATCTTTAGGTGGGAGTTAGCTCAAGGCTGTCAGCATGAAAATCTCATAGGCAGATGTAGAAAGAATCAAGCTATTCTGTGTGTCGAGGTGAGATATCATCATGGTACAAGAAATAATACATTTCTAAAACATACATCTCTCTTTAAATCAGATGAGATTAACTTGAAACAAAAACAAAACTACATATTTATTACTCATCTTTTCATCTAATTGGCACCAATATTTAGCCAGCCTCTTGAACAATACTCAGGATAAAACCTTTAGGTAATATATTTTTTATGGGATATAAAGTTAACCTAAAAGTATGTTTGAAATATTAGGTTCAGATTCTAGGGAATTGGGATGACAATTGTTAAAGTTGAGCATTTTCTACTGGCTTTCAACAAATGTTATTAATACTATGCAACACACCTACGTGCATTAGATTTCTAATGACTTTTATAGCAGAATTTCTAGGGTTAGAATGAGATATTCCAGTTATAAGAGATATTTATAAGCAATCAGTACTAAGAAATTGAGCATTATAGCATTATAACTTTCTATAGAAATGAATAAAAACCCTATAACCCAAGCACTTTCGAAAGGTGGACCTTTAATCCTCAGGAGAAAACTGGGAATGGTGGTGTAATCGAATGAGTAATATATACAAAGGGAAATTAGTGACATTATGAAAGTCATCCTGTTTTCCAGGAAATATTTAGTCTATTTCTCTATGTATTGTTGTAACACCTAGAGACTGATTGAAAAAGGTATGTTATGCTAATCAATTTATAAAAACAAGTATAAAAAAATGATATTGAATAAATAGTAAGTTTTAGGAAATTACATGAAAAAATAAGCAAAAGGTAAAAATTATTTTTCTGATAGAGATGAAACCAATGAACGGAGATCACCAATTCCAGGATCTAGATTAATTCTGAAAGGTTGAACAGTCTCCAGGTGTCACCTTTATTTAACTTAAACACTTAAGTATAGTTTTAAATATACATATATTTAGCCATTTCTAAAGTAAAATATCCATAACAACTTTTCACATACACTTGCGCCATCAGCTACATTATACCGGAAATGAGACGTTTAAACAGTACATAGAGAAATAGTCTAAACATTTCCTGGAAAACCAGATGACCTTCATGACATCACTAAACTCTCTTCATATATATATCACTTATTCGATTACACCACCATTCCCAGTTTGCCCCTGAAGAAGCAAGGTCCACCTTTCGAAAGTGCTTGGGTAATAGGGTTTTTATTCATTTCTGTAGAGAGTTATAATGCTAAATTTCTCAGTATTGATTGCTTATAGATATATCTTATAACTGGAAAATCTCATTCTAATCCACACTACCTAGAAATGCTGCTATAAAAGTTATAGGGTTTTTTTTCATTTCTATCAAAACTTCTTGAACCTACGTGTTTTTATAACATCATGAATAACATTCTACAAAATATGGCATCTAAATTAATAAACACTAAAATAAAATCTTCAAACATCACAACAATTTTAAGTGAAAACTATATTTCTCAATTTCAAATCAAGATTGTTTTACTTAAATGTTACAAACTATCTCATATCTCCATGGGCAGTTGTGCGTTTGACAGCTTTACACGTACAAGAGATTTGTGAAATTCTTTGCATCATTCAGTTACTAAATTAAAATTGACAATTATAGTTCTAGATTTTCTCCCTAAATATCACATAATCTACTAACATATATTATTCTCATTTTTACAAGCGTGTATATTTACATGCATGCGGAGAAAGACTCAAGACAAAGTTCCCTCTTAACAATTTTATGGAGGCTAATTGACATGAGCAGAGTTATTTCTAGTTAGTTTAAATTACTATATATTTTTTATATATCTGTTCCAGATATGATTTATGCTTATATTAAGTTCCAAAACATCACAAAATAATTTTAAAGTAAATGCTGAAGATACAAGTTTATGATTATCTGCACCCCTTTAAAGGCAATGTAAAAAGTATCAAAAAACTGTCCATATAGGTTTTGTTTTATGAAACACATACTTGAAAATTAATTATCATATATAAACTATTATTGAATGCTGTTTTTAATAATATATTTTAATACACTTTACTACATTCAGTTTTTGGTACAATCATAAAATTTTTTAGGCATGGTCAGGCACAGTTAAAGTTGGACAATCATCAAAGCAATAACTAAATGCCTTTACAAATCACGTATCAAAAAGTCTATATAAACAAGGGAGAACAGTAAAGAAAATCATAAGTATAAATTAGATATTTAATAAATAATTAAAAATCAACATTTTATATTTATACAATTTTAAAAACTTTATTGAAGCCATCAACAGCTTCCACTTTAAAAGTACACATTACATGTACATGTTTCAATGCCCTTTAAGTTGTCTTCATGAGTTATTTACAAGACACAATTTATACTTTTTTCCCTGTCATATGATATTACATTGCATTGTTATTTACATAATTCCTTGGTCAACCTTTATAATACATCACACCAAATATCAATGCACTGGCTTGATGGCCCTTCATCTCTGTTTAATACTTCTTTTTGTTTTTTAATTTTATTATTTCTAGTAATTCTCTGACATTTCAAGCTGTAATTTTGCAAGGTTGAGCTAAAATTGTAGGTTTTTTTCCATAAAACTGTGTATTGTGTTGTATTTACGTATTCTGCTATAGCCAAGTTTTCTATTTTATTATTCCTTACGTAACCTTTATGTTCCTGTAATCTGTATTTTAAATTCCTTTTAGTTTGACCAGTATAAATACTCCCACATTCAAATTCTATTTTGCATATCCCAGTTTTATCTCTTAATTCTATTTTATCTTTAGTATTCCCTAACTCTTCTTTAATCTTATTTATATGTTTAAAGATGGGATAAAAGTTTTGTTGTTTCTTAAAAGCTTTACATAATTGACCTGTTAATTGTGGAACATAAAGTAAACTTAAAGTTTCTTTTTTGGTCTTTTCATAGATGGATCTTAACATAGTCTTTTTAACTAACACTGAACCTTTGCTAAATTTCTTAAATGCTCTATCTACTATATTTGGTTCAATACCTCTCTTAACAGCTACATATTTAATTAATAACAATTAATTACTTAAATCTTCCTGTCTTGAACATATTTTTAAAGCTCTGTAAACATATGTATAAAATGCAGAGATTTTTAGCACTTTTATATGACACGATTCCTGGTGTGGTGACATGACAATAGCAAAGGGTTTTCTATAAACTGATGCTTCCAAGTTACCATCTATTTCTTTTTTGACTGGTACATTTAGAAAGTGTAAGCTATTATTTTCTTCAATTTCACACATGAATTGAATTGATGGTTTCTTACTATTTAAATAACTGGGTTTACAAAATAGACTGTGAATGTGGGAGTATTTATATTGGTGAAACTGAAAGGAATTAAAATACAGCTTATATGAACATAAAGGTTACATGGGAAATAATAAAATAAAAAACTCAGCTGCAGCAGAATACGAAAAACACAACACACAATTTTATGCGCAAAAAACTACAATTTTAGCTCAACCTTTCAATATTACATCTTTAAATGTCAGAGAATCAGTAGAAAAAAAAATATTAAACAGAGATGAAGGGCCATCAAGTCAGTACATTGATATTTAGTATGATGTAAGGTTGACCAAGGAATTATGTAAATAACAATGCAGTGTAATATCACATGACAGGGTAAAAGACTATAAATTATTGTCTTGTAAATAACTTATGAAGACAACATAGAGGGCATTGAAACATATACATGTAATGTGTACTTTTAAAGAGTAAGTTGTTGATGGCTTCAATAAAGTTTTTAAAATTGTGTAAATATAACATGTTGACTTTAATTATTTATTAAATTTTAAATAATACAAAAGTGTCAATCATTCATAGTTAAATTAGATGTATTCAGCACCATAACAATTACAAGCATTAAAGAAAAAAACATGAGGAATTAGCAAAATGCACAAACCTGATCTTAAATTGACCATCAAAATCCCACAATATGCATCAGCAACATACAAGTTTCCTTTCTTATCAAATCTCAGCCCAAGAGGCCTCCCACAGGTTGAACTTTTCGTTTGCAGCTCTTTTTTTATGCAAGAAATCAAAATACATGATAATTATTTTCAGGAAACTTCAAGAATAAGCAACTAACTTATGTAGATATTAGTAGCAATCAAACAGTTTTCCTTGATAATTCCCATATTTTCAAATGATAATGAAGATGCATTATCTGCTTCAGAAAAAAACAAATATATCACAACAAAACATTTATTAAATGATATAGTCTCCATTCTTATTGATGATGCTTTTCCATCTTACAATCAGGTTGTTAATGCTCTGATTATAGAAATCACTTGGCTTTGAAGCAAAATCATGTAGATGTACACTTTAACACCTTCTACATTTGCATACATTTTTCCATTAAAATGGTGTTGCACGGAACGTAAATGGTAATCTGATGGTGCCATATCTGGAGAATATGGTGGGTGGGGGAGAACTT